TAGTTCAATAAAATTTTGAATGCAAGTTAACAAATGAGATTAACATGGTTTTTCTCATTATTTTTTATGCTATTAACAGTTAATTTTCAAAAATGTTATAGTAAATGTCTTTCTGTTTGAGAAAAGTGTGCAACTAAACAGTTAACTGGATTCTTCAGTTTTAAGTAAAGGGTATTATAACATTGATTGCTACAATATTGCAACTGATATTAATGTGATTGTGTTTTGAATTGTTCATTTATCTTCATTTTTTATTTCTAACTTCAGTCAGTCTTTGTTTCAGATATATTTGTCCTTATGGTTTAAAATTATACTCTGTTTTTATATTTTGTGTTTTTAGATGACATTTTATATATTCTGCATCTTCATGAATACACTGTTTGCAGATACATTACAGTTAGTTTTTACATTTGCTTTTAGAGAACTATCATTCTCTAATAGGATATATTGTATTCAGTTTTTCTATATAATTTGGTTGTGCATTTAGATAAATGGAATGAAAGGGTAACTATGAGGTGAGCAAGGAAGCCACTGCATTAGTAAAAGTGGTAAAATTTGCCATACGTTTGATACATGTTTTAGTTTTTTTGTTCAGGAAAGTTTGACATGGTAATTTTGTTATTAAGAATGTACGTAATGTAATCAACTATGTCAAAACAGCCTGTAACACCATTTCATGCTCTTCATAATAAACTGACCACTCTTGAGAAGCACTCAAACATTTTAGATTATTTAGTGGATTGCAGTAATTACTGTGTTTTAATCTTTGGTTCTATCTCACTTAATCTAGATTATAGCCTTTAACACCAATAAGACTCTAGCCTTTTTAACATCACAGGAAGAGTTGAGAATGGCAACAGTTAAAAATTGTTGGAAGTTTATTTACTGCACACTAAAAACTCAACTGTACCAATAAGATTCTGCTAATAAATTGTTCTTAAACTTGCCTCACTGGCACAATGGTAAGTCTGAAGGCTTATAATGCTAAAAATAAGGTTTCATTACCTGTGGTGAGCACAGTACAGATATCTCATTGTGTAGCTTTGTGCTTAACTACAAATAAACAAACAAAAGCTTTTAAACTTAATGTTTATGGATGATTTTAATGAGTGGTGAAAATCAAAACCATTGTACGTGCATTTATGTTTTATTTTTCACACTTTTCTATGTGTGACTTTTTTAGGTTTTAAAAAACAGGAAAAATATAATTTTGTTATTATGATTCATGCATAAGTACAAAATATATAAACAATTTAGAATTGTGTATTTGTAATAATGCTGGAACATTGTCTCTGGTAACAACAGGAAGTGTTAACATGCTCTTTTTGTGACAAGGTGTCAGTTGAGATGGGATAGTGTTAATTAATTTAGAGTTAATATATGCTTGTAATGTGTTCATGTCAGTAAGATTAAGGTTAGATCTGTAAATGTGCAGAAGTAGTCTAGATAATGTTTCAATTCTCTCAACTTGCAACGTAAAGTTATTGTGACATAACAAACAGTATTTCATTTTGTTATATACACCTGGAAAAAAGTTAAGCACCCCCGTGTTTTTTTCAAGTGATTCA